CATTTACCAAGAAACTTCATACACTTTGCAATGTAACATAGCATCACTGCATCTTAGCTTTCTTCTTCTGCTTAAGCCAATATTCCAGTTTACACCCCTTAAAGACTTACCCAGGAAAATATGGACTAATCAGTAGGGGCTGAATATTTTATCAATGAGTTTTCTTAAATACTGTGGGCCAAATCAGGGTGTAAGTCCCTTCATTTCCATGAATATTCAAATGGCCCAGCAGTATTCATCTGAAAGAACAGCTGGACTATTTGTCCTCTTTGCTCCATTATTCACCTGGAATCTGGGATTATTTCATATCAACTCACAGCTGCTGGCCGTGAAGTGCTGTGAAAGAGCAAAGGCAGCATCCAGAACCACCCTCCACAGCATGCAACTACTAACATCTCTGCCCAGAGAGCTCCCCACAGCTCAAAAGTCACCTGTGGGCGATGATAAACACCAGGCACAATGTGGTGGAAAAGACTAAACTGGGAATTAGCCCACAGAAAATCCAACAGCCACCAGGATAAGCATGAGGGCCAGACAATTTGGGGCCTCTCAAAAGCAAATACGAAGAGCACTGTGAGGAACACTCACACAGAAAAATTTGGGTTCTGCAGAAGAAACCCCTTTCATACTGACTCCCACCTCTGAGGAGCTGGCACTGAAGGCAATAACCAGATGCGTCCAACTCCTCTGAGTGACAGAAGGCAAAATGCTGCCAGTTGGTTAGTTAGGGAGATACTGTTGTTGTGGGCAAACGTGGAGCATCTCTCATGGAGAAAGCACGCTGCAGTCCTTGCAGTCCCTAGCCTGGTACCAAGCTGCAGAAGCAGATGCAGCACAGGGAAACTGATAAAAGGTCAGTCACAAATGATTCAATAGCTTAGAAACTAGCTTCTGAGGAGGAGGGCAGTTTGAGTTTCTTGATTCAAAGGGCTGGGATGACGCTGAAGGCTGGGAAGTGTGCCTTCAAGCTTTCTTCTGGTGGGGAGTGAAAAGTGGGCTGGAGGAACAGCCTCAGCACTCGAGCATCCCTGCACCTTTTCCTTCATCCCACAGACACAGCTCTGTTATGTTGCTCAAGTCCAAACATAAATCTGTAATTTGTCCAAGAAAAAAACATTTTTAGATGGGCTAACTATTAAGCACTAGATGCTGAGCAAATAAACAGGAGGAAATGCATATGCATCAGAGGAAATAATGACATGCTGTAGCTATTGAAAACTAGTAGGAAGGGAAATATAGCTGGAACATTAATGCTGCAGCAACTTGCTCTGAAAGGGTATCATGAAGGGGGGGATGAGGAGGAAGGACGTATTACTTTACATTAGAGATGCTCATGGGATTACAGATGACTCAATCACAGACCTTGAATGCTTACAGGTTATACCTGTACTCCAACTAAAGATGGAGTTACTGAAACATCTCTTACAGGCCCTGAAATCCTAATACTAGAGTGAGCCAATAACTTTGCATCTGTTCTTCATGTGTGGAAAGAAAAACAGGCTAATCACAGATGCACACAGCCTGGAGGATGTTTGCTGAAAACTTCATCTGACTACAGAAAAAAAAATTCCCCGGTGTCCTAAAAAGATGACAATTTCTTAAAATCAAAAAAATCTAAAACCCTACATGAAATATCTCAATGTTGAGCCTCATTTTAATGAGTGAAGAGAGTTAATTAATCACCTAAAAGCTACAAGCAACTTAGTATCAATGATCATGATCTAGTCACACGTAATTCATTTTAGAATCAGTATATACATTATTGCTTGGTGTTTATAGTCTGTTTGCACAATTGCTGGCATATATGGGTCTAGAAAGAGAAGAGTGATAGGCGTGAAACAAAACAGAGAATTGTTTAAAAAGAACCTACTGCACACCAAAAGGTTCTTCCAAAACTTCAAGAAAGTTACGCTTGTGAAAAAAAAAAAAGATTCCAGGGAAGATAAAGAAGAGAAATTTCAGAAAGACATGCAGATTTATAAAGAATGAAGAGAGCAGAGAAATTAGTGGTAAACAAATGAAGAAGGACAGGCAACCTCTAAAGAAGCAGAGCAGCCAATACAACACTGAGGACTACTAACGGTGTTTAAGACAGTAAAAAGGCACTTCTGAAAGCACCCACGCAGATGAAGTCCATTGTTTGGTGCAGACAGAAGGATCAAAAACGATGACACGGGAAAGGAAGGATATTTAAAGAACAGCATTATATGGAGTTATCAGGACACATAGTTTGTTGGATTAAAAATGGTTCTTTAAAAGATTTCAATACACAGTTGTTAACAGAAAGACATAAGCAGATAGGTCAGTAGTGGCCATTTCCAAATTGCAGGGATCGTGTCATCTTCTAATGCAATTTCATTGGTTTGTCGTTTGGGGGCTCGGCAACATGAAACTTCCGCAGGAAAAGCTTGCACATAAAAAAAAAGACGAATATAGTGCCAAATAATGAAAAGGGAAGGTTATTCTTATGGAGCATAGTTAAAGTCACAATAACATCTTTTGCAATGTAACTATATGCAAGCTAGTAACCCTAGCAAAGAACAGTTTGCAGACTTAAAGCAGTAGACATACTTTGAAGACTGTGACTTAATGACTTAGAGATGGAACAAATTGCTAAGTTCATTTATGTCTTCTGTGATCATCACATGCTTCAAAATAGGTACTCAAAGAAAGATACAGGAAAAAATAATCCTAGCAAGGCTTCTGTCAAAACCCTGTGCTCAGCCCTGCTAGCCACACTTCGAGAAGGAAGTGAAAATACTAGAGGGAGCTCAAAGGAAGGCCAAAGAATTGACCCCTGAACAGGGCAAAGCAAAACAAAGCAAATCTTACATGTGAGGCTGACAGAGTTCACCCAGCTCAGTGATAATGTTCAGAGCTGTCATGATGACTATTTAGGGCCACATTTCAAACTCGCAGATAAGTTAAGAGCTGACAGTAGGAATTTCAACCTTCGTTTCCCAGCAAAATTTCCCAGCCATGTTAGTAAATGAACTACAGAACAGTTTACCAGGGCAGATGGGTCAACTCATTAATGCCTGAAGTCTTCAAAATGAGATTACACATGTTTAAAGAAGACACACCCAAAACAACTTTTTTTGGGGGGGGGGGGAATCTATGGCGCACTCACACAAAATGTCAGGTCAGAGAAATATAATGACTCCCGACTGGTCTTCGAGTCTATGAAATGAAGTACTTAACCATAAAAAATTCAAAAATCAAATGTCTCCTTCAAGACATGTTGTCACAAACAGCACTTGTAAGAGCCCCTCTGGTATTCAAAACTATCCAGATATACAAAAACCCTTCTAATGTGTCAGAGCCACTCGCACTCAGCTCTAATTCGATAGCTGTTTATGTTTGTTGAATAAACACACAAAAGACTAGGTGTCAACCTGGTCCTGAAGGTATGGTTTGAACATTTCAGCAGTCACTCTAAAGAATCCCCTGGTCGATCCTTCCCAAAGCACAGCTCTGACATTAGGCTAGACAAATGCCAGTGATGATCACATGGAAGTGGGAGATGAAATCCAGAAGCCTCCTTCTTATAATGTGATAACCCATGTTATTGGGTCCATCATTCCTAACCACATGTGAGCTGGACTAAGGTATTCAAAACAGCACCTCCTTCCATGCATATAAATGGGAAAGCAATTTTGGAATGAGAAAAGAAAAAAAATATCAAAGCAGACATTCCCTGTGTGAGTGGGAATAAAAATCACTGGTCATTCTCCAACAGTAATCAATCTTAAGTACATGCTTTTTCATTTCCAGAGGAATGAAGGATTCTGATGCTCTATCATCATTTTATTTACTTCAGCCCAGGAAGTGTCTGATCTGCTTTAAAAACTGTGGATCAATTCTGTATTAAAATACCATCATTCTGCCTACTCCTTCAAAGTGCTATAAAATATGCTGAAGGCAACACTGGCATGTTCCCCAGGTACCACGGCTCAAACAAAACCTGCAACAGAGGAGTCTTTTTAGAAAAAGCAACTACAACCTTTCCACTCACTCCTCCCCAAGCACTGAGCAGTCCATATGATGTACCGCTTTTTCCTTTTCTGGTTTTAGTCAAGAATATAAACCAAAAGTATGTCACAGACTGCATGCTAAAGTTTAAGGAAATTACTGGTGGGGTTGACAAAACAGAAGGTAAGATGCCCCATCTTGAAGAACAACATTTTATGGGTTTTTTAGGTTTGTCCTTGCACATGAATGTAATACTTATGGGTTGCCACTTAAATTAAGCCTAGAGCCTAGAGTCATGTCCACTAGCACGCAAGCTTCTCTTCTTCCTCACCGATGCAGAGTTAAACAGCTGCACTGGAGCCTATGTTTTTAATCAACAGTTTACTCCTATATTTTCCTCTGAATAGGAAATACTCATAACCACTCCATTTCACCTGCTGTGTTTTTTTTAAGCACTGTGAAACACACTATTCATACCACAGCGTTAAAGGGTCAGATTACCCTCACCTGGAATCTATTCAATAAATTCCACCAAAAGCCAAAACACCATTTAACAAAACCAAACAGGTCAATAAAGAGAAAAGGGGAGCGAAAAAAAAGAAAAAAAAGGTACTCAAAGCAAAAAGAATCTCAAATCCAAGTCATTTGAATAGTGGTTCAACTCAGGTATTGTAACAAAGCATTTCAACACAACCCACAAGATTTCTATTCACAGTCTTTTTCATCTGAAGAGCTTGAAACAAAGTTTTCGCCACCTCTAAAGCTTACTTCCACAAATTACATTATTGTACACAAGCTAAGGGCATAACCCTCAATTTTAGCAAGCTTTCTGGTATGCTTCAAAGATATATGCAACATGAGACTTTAGAGAAATACCAATGTTTGTTACCAGCATCCAACCAAACCAAAACCAAAAAACCCCAAACCCTGCCACTGTTTATTGCCAAAACAGTTTCCCACAGCCTGAGTTTACATCAAGTCCATGAACACAGCCCATCAGGTTTTTTCGAAAGTGCAAATATACTTACGAAAGGACATTCCCAATGTAGGCATAATATGAACAGCAGTAGGGAGTAGTCCCATCACAGCAGTAAGCTTTGCAGTCATTATCACACTGAGCCAGACAATCTTCTGCTGAATAAAAATAATGTTCATGCGGTCAAACGGCAGCAACAAAAAATGCTGTACAGCACAGCTTTAAAGAAAATGCAATCTAACAGTTTTATACAATCACAGGACTTCACTAGAGGTGTGACCTGACCCTGTAATCTTAATGGCAGCCTATTCCCACTCATTCTGCATCTCAGTAGGAAGTTCAGTTAGGTGCTTTGCATATGGGTGTTTTATAGCTGGCTGTATCAGTTCCTTCTCATATTTCAGCATTTAAAATAAAAAGAGCATTTTGAAACATCAAGACACCACAGATCACCTTTTTCCATTCCAGCAAGGAGTCCAGAGGGAAACCTGAGGCCGGCTGCCTGTCTCGCTGAGCTGCAGGAGAGGAGAAGAAAGCTGTCTGGGAACTGGCTACCTCCCACAGTCCCTGCCCAGCCCCAGCCCCGGGTGTAAATTAGAGCTGCCTGGGGCTCCCTCATCCCCGGCCAGCTGGCAGCGGCTCCCCTCGCTCCGCTCCAGCGCCAGGGCCACGTCCAGTGTGGCACGGCAGCACCCGGCACCGGGGCCAGCAGTGCCCTCTCTGTCCCCCTGCCAAAGACTGTCCTGCCCAGCCGGGGCCACAAACGTTTCCAGCAGCAATGGTCTGCCGGACTGAGGAACAATGCAAATTGTAAAGAGCTGTCTTACTGCTGTTTCACAGTTAAGAAGCACGGAAGAATACGTATCCTTTTATTGCCATGAGAAGCTATCTTAAAGCTATGGACCTCTTGTGCTGTTGCGATTCAGTGTTTTCAAGGCCCTAAGTCAGGTCCCCCCCAAGCAAATAACACTGCGTAGTCTCTGGGTACTGCCACTGCCCTGTAAAAACCTCCTCGGGGATCCCTCGCTTCCCGCATCTCATCCCAGGCCCTCCTTCCCCACTGCCAGGACCTCAGCTGCAGCCTGGATGAGTCCAAACAGACTCCCTACCCCGTGCACCATCACCCTCGGTGACCTCTTGGTCACACACACGCTGCCACGGCAGAGACCTGAAAACAAAGATGACGAACTCTGCTTTTGCGTTCCCGGTATGCTGTGGCTCCCGTTCCCCAGGCAGCAGATCACGCTAAGGGGTTCCCACTCTCCCAGTCCCATTACTGCCTTTCATCCATTCCGGCCCAACTTTCGGCACGCGGGGATCTGAGCAACCCCACCTCATCTCAGCTGCCGCCACGCTCCGGTTCCTGCCCCACCTCTGGCTGCAAGTTCCCACCTCGCACGGAGGGTACTTTGCCGTGAATGGCTCATGCTGATGATCCATCCCAAAACCTGCACCTTGCTCATTAGATTTTAGCAGGTTAGCTCTCTGAACCTGCTCATGCTTGGTCTCTGCTTCAAAACAAGTGCCAAGGGAGGGTGAGGGCAGGAGAGGGCTGTGCAACGCGGCACACGGGCCAGCTCATGCAGCTGCGCCCTAAAGCTGCGCAATTACCCCTGTATTAAAGAAACGCACATGCACGAAAAAGCGCAACAACTGGCCCATCGGTCTGAAGACCGACCCCCGCAACAAGCCGATGTGGGCAGCCGGAGCAACGGCAACCTCCAGAAGGAGGGAGGAGGCCAGTGGCTGGCATGGGCCCCGCTGAGCAGGAGCAGCGACGCGGAGCGACGGCCGTGCCCGCGTGTGGGACCCCCCCGTGCCAAGGCTTCTGCACTGCTGCCCTCGCAGGAGCCACTCCCCACGCCCGCAGCTTCAGGCTTTTGCACCGTTACCCGTCTCTGGCAGGCGCGCTGCCGTCTCCGGCTGTGCCCCTACGCGCCCGCCAAGCACGGAGACTCGACCAGACGTGAGGGCAGCTGCCGCTCCCGCTCCCGCCCGCTCACCCAAGCCGGCGGAACCCAGGGGAGCCCTCGCCCTGCCCCAGGGCGCGGGGCCGGGGCACCCCACGGCGTCTCTCCCGAAGGGCGCGGGTCTGACCGCCCTGCAGCCCGAGAAGGACCGCCGCGCAGCACACCCTGCCCGAGAGGTCCGCTGGGACACCCCGGCGAGCCTCTTCCGACTGCGGCTGCCAATTCAGCCGCCGACAACGAGGAAAAGCCCCTGCCTCCGCCTGAAACCGCCGGGCCCCGCTCCCCGCGGCGGCT